ATAAATGGAAATTTCTTCTGTGGTCTATAATTTTCTTCTATGTGTAACCCTGTGGCTATGAAGCTTTCAACTACGAAAAGGATTTATTTCTTCAGTAGCTAGTATATACTCTTTATGGTCTTTCACTAACCACTGAAAAGTTAAAATATTGCATTTAACAGAAATCCGATTTCAAGGCTATTTTTGATAAGACCGATTTGTGTGTTCTGAAAAGAATGTATTCAAAATATAAAAATTAACCTGCCATTGTGCATCAGTTTCTTTTTACTTATGTGTTGGTATTTTGTTTCTAATGAATAATTTTGAAGAAGATAAGAAAATGTAACATTTAGGAAATAAATGAAACACGATTCAGGAAGAGGTAAATTTTTATAATTTTAATTATTCAAAATTACCTTTCACGTGGATTAGGTTTGTTGAAAAACTACTTGTCTTACAATTGCTTTTGTTCATGGAAGTATTGATTTACAGGTAAGTTTGCCACCTAGCACACTTTCAGATTGTGAGCTCTTTACTAGAAAAAAATATACATGAGGCCGAGACTTAATATTTCTATTAACTTTTCATTTAAAATTAACTATCAAGACTAACACTTCTGAAAGTTTTTAGAAAGGAATTTAAAAGGCCGGGCGCGGTGGCTCACGCCTGTAATGCCAGCACTTTGGGAGGCCAAGGCGGGTGGATCACGAGGTCAAGATATCGGGCACCATCCTGGTCAACAAGGTGCAACTCTGTCTCTACTAAAAATATATAAAAAATTAGCTGGGCATGGTGACGCATGCCTGTAATCCCAGCTACTCGGGAGGCTAAGGCAGGAGAATTGCTTGAACCCAGAAGGCAGAGGTTGCAATGAGCCGAGATCATGCCATTGCACTCCAGTCTGGGTAACAACAGTGAAACCCTGTCTCAAAAAAATAAATAAATAAAATGATTTCCAAAAAGTGGAGGCTTTTCATTTGTCCTATTTATTTGTTAGATTAGATGTCATGATTAAATTAATCAATAATTACACTTCCTTAAAAATACTAATGTGTGTCTGTGTGTGTACTAAGATATTCTTATTGGCATAATTTAGCATATTAGGATATACTTAGGGATTATCTTCTCCTATAAATAAGTACACTAACCCATCAAACATGTGGGTGGAGAGAATGAGGAAAGGCCAGGGGCCAGAGCAAATCAAAGTTAACAAAGGCCATAAGCACTCAAGACCTGATTTCTTGTTTGTCTTAATTACTGAATAGACCACAATTCCATAGCTTTAGTCAATGAGTTACATAACATTCTTAAGCACAACTTTAAAGAAGAGTCTTTCAAGCTTGTTTTGTTCATTTAATTCACCATAAATTATGGAATTTTTTGTGGCTCCAGAAATTCCTTAGATGGAATCTTTATTCTAGGAGCCCTTAATATGTTTATGAAATAATTTTTTTACGTATTTAAAAACTTGATATTTCAGTTCTGTTTGAAGTTTAGCACAATCTCACGTAGTTCATTGAACAGTAACTTCTTTTTTTTTTTTTAGACAGAGTCTTGCTCTGTCACCCAGGCTGAAGTGCAGTGCGGCATCTCAACTCACTGCAACATCTGCCTCCTGGGTTTAAGCAATTCTCCTGCCTCAGCCTCCTGAGAGCTGGGACTACAGGCATAAATTGTCCTAAATTTGGCAAGTGAGAGCTCCAAGGTTTGGAAGATATTTTATTTCATTTTCTTTTTTCTTTTCTTTTTTGAGATGGGGTCTCGCTCTGTCACACAGGCTGGAGTGCAATGGCAGCATCTCGGCTCACTGCAGCTTCCACCTCCCAGGCTCGAGTGATCCTCCCACTCCCACCTCAGCCTCCCAGCTAGCTGGGACTATAGGTACATGCCACCATGCCCAGGTTAATTTTTGCATTTTTAGTAAAGACAGGCTTTCACCATGTTGGCCAGGCTGGTCTCAAACTCTTGACTTCGTGTGATCCGCCTGCCTTGGCCTCCCAAAGTGCTGGGATTACAGGTGTGAGTCACCGGCCTGGCCTCTTTTCAAGAGAGTGGTTTTAGCTATGATTTCCCGTAATACCTGTGGGCCAAAAATGTGTTAATCATCAAATGGTACCAAAAAGAAATGGTTTCTACTTTTAAATAACCTATATTTTAAGATGATACCAAAGAGTACCCTTCTAATCAATGGTATGATGAAGTCAACTAAACTGTCAATTTTTTTTTTTTTTGAGACGGAGTTTCACTCTTTTTACCCAGGCTGGAGTGCAATGGCGCCATCTCGGCTCACCGCAACCTCCACCTCCTGCGTTCAGGCAATTCTCCTGCCTCAGCCTCCTGAGTAGCTGGGATTACAGGCACGCGCCACCGTGCCCAGATAATTTTTTGTATTTTTAGTAGAGACGGGGTTTCACCATGTTGACCAGAATGGTCTCGATCTCTTGACCTCATGATCCACCAGCCTCGGCCTCCCAAAGTGCTGGGATTATAGGCTTGAGCCATCATGCCTGGTCCTGTCAAATTTTTTTTAAGAGCGAGTCTCACTCTGTCCTCTATCATCCAGGCTGTAGATGCAGTGGCTCTATCTCGGCTCACTGCAACCTCCACCTCCTGGGTTCAAGCAATTCTCCTACCTCAGCCTCCCAAGTAGCTGAGATTACAGGCACCCACTACTACACCAAGCTAATTTTTGTATTTTAGCAAAGATGGGGTTCACCATGTTGCCCAGGCTGGTCTCAAACTCGTGACCTCAAGTGATCTGCCATCCTTGGCCTCCCAAAGTTCTGGGATTACAGGCGTGGTCCACCAGCCCCAGCCTAAACTGTCAAGATTTTTTGCAAGACAATTATTAAAAACAGCCATCATTACAAATTAAATTATAGCTGGGCACGGTGGCTGAAAAAATATTTTCTACCACGCTCAGCCTGAAAAAATATTTTTAAAAAAGACAAGAAAAACAGCTTGTGCTAGGTTTGATGTGTACCTGTAGTCTCAGTTACTTAAAAAGCTGAGGCAGGAGGATTGCTGGAGCACTGGAGTTCAAGGCTGCAGTGTGTTATAATCTCTCCTGTGAATCGTCACTGCACTACAGCCTGGGCAATATAGTCAGACCCCATCTCAAAAACGAAGGGAGGAAGGAAGAAAAAAAACAACTTGTAGGTAGAATGTTATCCTCTGTGGAAAATTGTGTAAGAACATCTTATAATAATACACAAGGGCAGTACTGGCTTTCTTCTTCTTTTCTCTTTTCTCCTTTTTTCTCCTTTTTTCTCCTTTTTCTCCTTTTTCTCCTTTTCTCCTTTTCTCCTTTTTTCCTTTTCTCCTTTTCTTTCTCCTTTCTCCTTCTCCTTCTCCTTCTTCTTTTTTTGATATGGAGTTTCACTTGTCACCCAGGCTGGAATGCAGTGACTGGATCTTGGCTCACTGCAACCTCTGCTTCCTGACTTCAAGCAATTCTGCCTCAGCCTCCCTAATAGTTGGGACTACCGGCAACCGCCACCACGCCCAGCTCGTTTTCGTATTTTTAGTAGAGGTGGGGTTTCACCATGCTGGGCAGGGTGGTCTCAAACTCCTGACCTTAGGTGATCCACCCCCCTCAGCCTCCCAAAGAGCTAGGATTACAGGTGGGAGCCACCATGCCTGGCCAGTACTGGCTTATTAGTGAAGTCAGTGGGCTACAGAATAAGCAAGGAGCAAAAAAGATGCCAAAGAAATGATGAAAGATAGAAAAATAATCTTAAGGCCAGGCGCGGTGGCTCATGCCTGTAATCCCAGCACTGTAGGAAGCTGAGATGGGATGATCACAAAGTCAAGAGATCAAGACCATCCTGGCTAACATGGTGAAACCCCACCTCTACTGATAATACAAAAATTAGCTGGGCATGATGGCACGGGCCTGTAGTCCCAGCTACTTGGGAGGCTGAAGGAGGAAAAACACAGTCACCCAGCTGGTGAGTGGCAATGCAGGAAAAGAGCCCAGGTTTGGCTGACTCCAAAGCCTGTGCCCTTCCAACAATGCCACCATGTTCCTTAGAAGAGCCAGTGAGAGAATAATGGAAAGACAGGAGAAAAGAGAATGAGCCAGAAACAGAGCTATAGCTAGGAAAATAAGGCTGGAAAACATGAGGTCAGGGAGAAAGAGAAGGGAACCCCAACTTTTTATATACTTTTTATTTTTTGAGGCGTCATCTCACTCTGTCACCCAGGCTGGAGTGCAGTGCATAATCTTGGCTCACTGCAACGTCTGACTCCTGGGTTCAAGTAATTCCTGTACCTCAGTCTCCCAAGTATTTAGAACTACAGGTGCGCATCACCAAGCCCAGCTAATTTTTGTATTTTTAGTAGAAACAGAGTTTTACTATGTTGGCCAGGCTGGTCTTGAACTCCTGACCTCAAGTGATCCACCTGCCTTGGCCTCCCAAAGTGCTGGGATTACAGGCATGAGCCACCACGCCCAGCCTCCAACTTTTTAAAAGACATGATCAAGGAGAGCCTTGAACTTCACAGGGATTTTAGCTTAGGGGTAGGAGAACAATACAGAAACTCACGTTGATGACATAGTCCTTGAATTTGATATGCAGCTGGTAGTTACAGATGGCAATGAGGGCATCGGCTGCCCGGCCCAGGAACTCTACTCCCTCGCCCTGCAGCACTGTGAAGGGGACCAGTCAAGGGGCAGAGAAACCCTCAGTCCAGAAGTGAGTGACCGCCTCTTCCTCCTCTACAGCCTCTGCTCTATGGAATCGCCTCTAGAAAAGCTCTGGAAATGGTGGATCAAGGCACGAGAGGAGAGTACTCTCCACAGTGAGAGCACCAGGCAACAGCTGAAGAGGAAAGCTGCCTTTCCTTCCCTGGGGCCAACAGCTCCAGGATATACAGACAAACCCTCCTCCTCCTGAGACCACAGAGCAGGAAGCCAGAGCTCCAGTACCAGATCCCCTTGAAGATATTTAGGGGAAGGGAGGATGTTTTTTTAACTGGACAGGAAGCCCCATCTATCCTGGCCCCCAACTCCTCCTTACCTGAAGATTCTCCTCCTCCTCCTTCACTAGTTCCTTGGGGGGGGGAACAGATCCTTGGCTTGGATGTACTCCAGGCTGGGGGGCCCTCCTCACCCTGTAGGAAGGCCACAGTTCTAAGTCACCAAGCTCTGCTTAGCCCATGAGGTTCATTCTGCTCCCCTCCCCCACCAAGAAATCCACAGACAACCACACACACACCTCTAAAGGTTCTGGTCACCAGAGGAGGGAAAAGAGACCTGCCTTGGTTGGAGACAGGTAAGTGTGAAATGGAGAGAGTACTCAAGCCTATTAAGCCTAAGGAAAGAGTGAGGCCCCAGGAGGAATTGGGAACCTGCACTCTTCAAAGGACTCTCCTATACAACCATCATTTCAAAAATGGAGGAGAGAAAACTAAGAAAAAGAGACTCTTTTCCTTAGACCTATGTAAGGGTAAGGCAGGAATGGGGATGGGAAAGTGCTGCCCTGAGGAAAAGGAGCCAGGTGTGGCAGCTGGTTATAGAGAGGAGGGAAATCAGGCCCCTGTAGCCACTGAAGCTTCAACCTAGTGGGTGAGGGAGACAGAGGAGTGGGTGGGGGGATTCAGTCCCAGGCCTCTAGAGGGCCTTCACTGATGCTTTCAAAAGGAAGACGTGTTCAGGAGCTGGGCTTATCTTCTTGTTAGGCCCACACTGCTGACAAGCCCCCATTACCTGCCAAGTAACCTACTCTGCCTGCTAATCTGAGGGGAATTCCTGAGGAATACCCACGGCAAGAAGAAGGAACTCCTCGCCCAACCACCAGGGAGGGGACCCGAGGGGATCCACAGGCCTGGGAGGAGCCAGGAGACCCAAGGACATCCAGGGGAGAGAAAGAGAGAGGAGGCCTGGCAGACACCCACGGGGAAGGCGGGGACAGCTGAGAGGACAGATGGGGGAAGCTGGGAAGAAGCATCAGCCAGCGCGGGAGGAGGGGAGGACCGGGAATGATGCAGAGGTAAGGAACCCTGCAGAGGCAGGGAAGATGGAGAAGAGAGGCTGTCTAGGGGACAGTCAAGGAGAAAAGGCTGGCATGTCAGGTGAGGGATGGAGTGGTGGAAGAGAGAAGGGACTGGAGCCCCAAGTCAGCTTACGGAACATCTCGGGCTCCCTGGCCAGCCCCTCAACATCCCTTGCAGCCTACTGGCCACATCCCACATCCCCAAGCAAGGATACAGCGGGTGGGACCAAGATGGAGAGGAGAAGGTAAAGGGATGTACCCCCGCAGGGCGGGGCCTGGAGATCTGCAGTCAAGGGCAGTGGCTGCGGGGCCGGGACGGACCACAGAATTTCCATTCCTAGCCTTCGACCATCCCCGGCACCCAAAGATTGAAGTAAGTCCAAGAAATAAGAGTTAACCCACCTTCCCTGCCCCTAAACGTTCGGGGTCGGGCCAGAGGCCATGGGAAGGGGGATGGGCTGAAATCGAGGGCTGACCCTCGGGTAGGCTGTGGGCACAAGCAAGCGTCGGTCTCCTAGGCACCCAAAGGCAGGGTGAGCACTTACGAAGCAGCTAAGCATGGAGCAGGAGACGCGGGCGGTCAGGCTCATGGTCACGGGCGGTCTGGGCCAGCGCACATGCCCCTGGAGCCGCTGCACTGCCAGCCAGCCCCGGGCTCCCGCCGCATCCCGGCTGCGGGGACGGCCAGGTGCAGCTGCGGCGGCCAGGAGGTGAGGGCGCTGGTGGCGGGCCCTCAGCACGGCTCCCGCACGCCTCTCCCCTCCTTTTCACAATGGAGCGGGCCCAGCTCCGCCCTCCAGCACGAGCGCGGAAGGGAGGGAAGCTGGGCGAGGGGAGAGCCCGGGACGCAGCGGGAAGGGAGGCAGGGGCGGGGCAGCTCCGCGAGCCCCACCCACAGCCCCAGGCTCCTCCCTCCCCGCGGACCCTGGGCCTTGTCCGAGGGCGTACCCTACTCCAGGGACCTTTAGGGGCTTTCAGGAGTCTGGGCTATGGGACCGCCCAGACAGACGGCCTGGAGCAGAAAACAAGACTGCCTACATCTTCTCATTTACCTTTTTTCCAAGTGGGCCACACTATTCCCTCTTAGAAACCCATCCCCATGCCCTCCCCTCCTCTCTTAAGTTCCCCCGACACCTGCTCTGGATCCCAAGGTGGAGCTCACCAACCCACAGCCCATTTGCTTTCTCCTTTCACTCCAAAACCACTACCCACCATGCCCCGGCCCATCAGGGTCTTTCAATCCTGTGACTTGGCTAAACCGGTCTTTCCCCTTAGAATGGTGCCAGGTTAGTCATTCCACGCTCCTGGAAAGGGAAATGAGCTTTCATTCCAATACCCCTACCAAACCCAACTCCTTCAGCTCCATCTCTCCCTTATTTCACATTCTGATCTCTGCGTAAGAAAGTCCTTCTTCAAGGAGAAAGGATTTCTTAGCCTGGGAAAGAGAAGAGCTGGAAGTATGGACCACAGAAGTTATACAAAAACGAAACTTGAAACTCAGGAGCAGCGGAGTAGAGAGAGTTGGGTAGAGGGCCAAGGAATAAGGAGCAGGAAGAAGGGGCTCAAAATATCACCAAGAGTCACAGAGGGAGCTCGCTGGAACCCCAAACTTCCTGCACCTGGTAACTTTCAGACACCAGGGCTTTTGTCTTGTCTGGGGGAAAAGGGAAGAATAAAAGAAAGCCTGACATTTTACTAAGCATCTACAATGAGCCAGGCAGTTTCTACCTATCTCACTAAAACTTTTCAACCCCTGAAGAAGGAAACCTTATCCTGTCTTACTGGTGAGACTTAAGAGAGAAAGTATGCAATTTACCTAAGTGGTGTGCTAGGATTTGAAATTAGATGAAGCTGACTCTGAAGCCAATGCTCTTTTCACGGTATCCCAGAAGAGAAAAGAAGAGCAATCTGTTGGTGGGAGCCCAAACCAGCAGGCTTTCTGAGAAGAGACCGAACCAATAATGCACACACCAAATCTAGGAGAGGTGGGGCAGCTTCACAGAGAAAGACACAGGGATTACAGAAAACACAATGGCCTGAGGAAAGAATGAGTACTCACCATTCTACCGTGGCAAGGGTCCTGGCTGCCTGCTTCTCACTGTAAGAAGACAGAGAAACATAAAAGTAAAGAGTCGCATCAACATTACCATGGAATCAACAAATGCTACCCATCTACCTCTGACCTTCTCTACAACATATTCTTCTCCCTCGCAGAGACCCTAATCTCTCCACAAGTCACCATACCAGAGAGAGGCAACGGGAGCTACATAGGGAGAAAGCAACAAGTGATCCTGCAGGGCATAAAGTCAGCCACGAGGTTCTGGAGCAGGAATGAGTGTCATCCAAGATTATTCACCAGAACTCAGGAGTCCTGATTCCCAGATGCAGAGGGAGAACACTTCTTTGTGGGACAGAACTGCCAACTCTGAAGAGACAAAGGCTGCCCAACTGGGGCTCATTTTGGGCCCTGAATCTTTGGGCAAAGTGGCAGTGGCTGAAGGGGCATGAATCCACAGGAATGTTTTGCCAGTCTCTGAGTCTCGGAGTAGTACCTACCTGACCTGTTTACTGGGGGCAGAGTCCAAAGTGGGACAAGCGCGGGGGTGTAGGGGGGAGACCACAACCTGTGATCAGAGGGCAGCAGGGCTGCACAGGCACAGGTCCTGCTGAGTGTACTTGACACCAAATTGGGTGGAGGTTATGGAGAGGAGCCCACACAACAGGAATAGAATCAGGCCAATTCAGGCCTTGGAGTCAGCATCTGTCCAATGAGCCCAAGTAACAGGGATTTCAGGATGGGGCCTCCTAGGCTTACTTAGGAAGCCAGGCCCAGGTTTCACTGACACTTTCCTTCATGCCTACTATCCTCAGGGGCAGTACAGCAGAGCCCTATGGGAGACTGCGGGGATAAAAGCCTCCATCTGTGGTCCTGCCCACCTCCCTGTTCGCAGTACCCTCTTCCCTAGACCACTCTCCCTCATGGGGGAACCCGCAACAGGCAAGCCAGAGGTGCTGCCTCACCGCCCACTGGCACGCAGCCCCAGGGAAAGAAGGGAGGGTAGGAAGGACAAGGATCAGGCCTGAGAGGCCCAGGGTTTTTAGGCCTAGGAGATCTGGTCTGGGGGGGGCGGGCCAGGTTGGCAAGGGAACTCAGGTGCCCAGGTTCTAGGGGCGGAGCCTAAAGACTCGGAGGCGGAGCCCCAAATGACAGAAGGCGGGACTCAGGAAAACCTGTGGGGGCCAGGGCGGAGCCGGGAAAGACGTGGTCGCTGCGGTTCCCAAGCTCGCAGTGCAAGGGGCACGGTGACTCACCCAAGCGGCGTCCGCCCGACCCTCCGAGGCCGCGCTCTAGCCACTTCCGTCTCCGTAGCTGCTGAGGCCGCGCTGTCCCGACCCCACCACGGTGTTCTTCTCCTCAACCAATTATATCTCTAGCCTGTGCCTGCCCTGGCCAATAGCCTCGCCAAGTCCCGCCCTGCCCCCATCACACAGCCACCGCCCTCACTCTCGACGCCACTCATTGGTCGAGACGGGCAGACGCCCTCCCAGCCTTTAGCCAATCGGATGCCGGAAGACAAGACTATGCCTGGAGGGAGGAGGCGCGGCGCCGGAGAGGAGACGCGACCAAGGGGAAATCACAGCGCGTCCTTGCGGTAGCCAATAGGAGAGCAGTAAAGAGGGGGCTGCCGGCTACAGCTCTGGGGACCGGAAGTGGGAGCGGCTAGTCGCCTACTGGTAGCGCAATTAGAGGCGGGCAGTGTAGGGTACAAGCCTTAAGCCACTTCCGGCGATGGACCCGCCCTGGAGGTCCTTCTCAAAGAGATCCCCAGTGGCACCTCAGTTTATCCATTCCCGTTTTGGTTTCGCTGCTGTCATCCGGTCCCAATGCCAGAATAGGAGGCTAGGAGAGAAGTGAGGGCTAGGCCTGAGGTTCCATCTTGATCAACTCCAACTGGCTGGGATTTCCCCCTTCCTGTGTCTGGTTGGGTTCCTCCAACACTCACTTTGTATCGATAAACGACCCTGCCGTTCTTCACAACCTGCGTTGTGCTGCTAGTCCTGAGTGAAGAACTCTCATCCGAGAGATGGAAAATCTGGATCTGAGACTGCCAGTAACTAGCTGCGGCCTCCTAGTCTGTAAAGGGAAGGGAGACCAGCACGCTCCCAAGGACCCGACTTATCGCCCCTCCCTTTCTTTCTTTGCCGGGGACCCAGAACAGACCACAAGACGGAGGGTGGCCGCTGGAGGTCGCCGTGGACCCGCGATACCACCAACCGACAGAATTGGAAAACAGTTGATTCAGATTCTCAGCTAATATTCTCAGGTCTGGAGTGGGCCTGAGCGCTTTAATACCAAGCCCTGGGGCCAATGGGTCCTCACCTCTCTTTGTTTATAGAACACTGAAACTTACAGGAAGAGGAGAACTCTGCAGTACTTTAACTCCAGGGTCCAGAACGGTCTGCAATCTAGCAGATGCTGTAAAATTTTTAATTAAATACTGAACTCCTGTAGGACAATGATTGTGTTTTTATTCATTCCTAGCACTTACTATAGTGTTTGGTGATTACAGTGGCTGCATTTGTTTAAAGCTCTTTCACAGGTTTTTTACAGTGTAGAGCTTAACCTGCCTATTCCTTTTACCAGATCAGGAGAAACAGAAAGTCAGGAAGTTGCACACAGTTAATACCTTGTTTTCCCAAGGGCGGGTATGAAATCCAAAACTGCTGCAGAATTAAAGGTATGTACGTGGGAAAGATGGAGAGAGACCCACAGCCCAGATAATAAAGGCAGGATAGATGTGGTCATTAAGATGGAGAAGCCAGACTGGATTCTAAGCAGGGACTAAGAAGGGGAAACAAAGTGAAAAGTTTTCCCCACTCTCCCTTCCCTACTAAAAGCCAGAAGCCAGCATCTACCATAAACCTTTCAAAACTGGGTCCAAGGATCTTGGTCTCCAGGAGGTCAGAAAGATACACACAGGGACACCAGAAACCACCTACAGATTTATTAAACTTTATTTCCTCTGAGTCTCTGGGCAGTCAGCAGGATGTAAGGCGAAGTGGCAATAGCTGAAGGGGCCTGAGCAGAGCTGGTGCTGGGAGGGGCCGACATGGACAGGAAGAGGAAGAGATTTAAATACCCAGGGCTGAAAGCCAGTTAATGGGTCTCCTTCATCTGTTTTTGTATTTTGTGTAGCATCTCCTGTAGCCGCCGGAGCTGGAATAGGTATAGGCATAAAAATGGGCCTTTTTGGAGAGTCCTTTAGTATTGGGGAAGTGCTCCAAATTTCTAATCCCTTAAGCCAGGACCTTGGTAGCCCTGAAGTATGATGGAGACTCTGGACAGAATCACCTATTGACCTATCCAGGACCCAAACAGGCAGCAGAGCCAGGGATCTTTCTATTACCAAACCAAGAGATACCAATGTTGATGATCAAACAGGGGACCTCCCCTATATCCCATACTGCTCTCACCTCCTTATTTTTCTCTCGCATAAGCTTCTCAGTTTCTGGATCTGCCCATGGTGGGACAGCAGGGATGGGGAAGTCGGTACCACTCTCTCGAGTCAGTTTGCTAAGAGGAGAGAAGGGTTGGTAAGGCTAGGAGGACCCCAGTACCCACTTAGATTGGGCCTATAGAAGAACAAAAGAAAGGTTTGGTCTCACCCAAGGCTAGGCTTGGGATCCCCCCTGCCACCTTTGTCCTGGCTTCTGGTCATACTTGCGATTCCGTTCCTTCACCACCAGGCGGGTCATGCTCTGGATGCACTGTGCCCGGTAGTTCTCATAATGTGTCTCCCGCGTCACATCCTTCAGGTCCTGCATGTGGGTACGCACCAGCATTGTCCTCAGCTTCACAAAGTCACAGTGCCCTGGGTTTTCCACTGCATAGCAAGGCTAGGGGTCAGCCAGAGGCATAGGTAGGATAGAGCCACTGAGGGGCAAGGGGATACCCTGGTCACAGGCTCAGTGCTTTACCTTCCACGATGCCCCAGGGGTAGAGTCGACCCCGAACTTGCCGCCCTCTGGCCTCTACTACAGTGTTGCTGCCAATGACTGCAAATGGGAGGCTTTCCTGGAAGAGGTTAGGGGTGCCTGTCAACACCCTCTGTTCTCACCTGTTTCTTTCCACCTGTATCGTCATCTTCTCTGCTTCACTCTGGGAAGCCAGGGTCCTTTCCCACCCTGATCGCCTGAATATAGAATTCTACTCCCTTTTTCCACCCAGAAGAAACAAGATGGGAAGGGGATGCCCTAGAGTGGTCTCACCTTCAGGGCTTGATCCTGCAATTTGAAGTCCTCATCCTCATCAGAGTCACAGTCTGGGAATTGATAGATCTTGATTCCAAAGCGCTCAATCTCCTCCCGGATCTGGCAAACAGATGAAGGGCCCACAGTTCTGGGGACCACATCCTTTCTAGAAGCCCACCTGATCCCCTCCCATCACCAGCTTCCGTCACTTTGCGTTTCTTGCAGTCCACTTCAGGAGGTGTCAGTGTGTCCGCCTTAGCCAGGATAGGCACGATGTTGACCCGCTGATGCAGGGCCTTCATGAATTCAACATCCAATGGCCGGAGCCTGGAGAACAGGAATCTGTGACCACCTGCTAGTGGCAGCCCTGCCCCTGGGCTCTTGTCCTGTTCCCTTGACAGCACCCAGTGGTGCCAGGAGCCTCAGGCTTGGACCATACCCGTGGCCGAAGGGTGAGATGAAGTACAGGCAGCAGTGCACCCTGTTGTCTTGGATGTTCTTTCAGTTCAAGCCACTCTCATCTCGGAAATACTGCTCAAACTGCTGATCAATGTATTCTGCCACAGGCTTCTAGCTGGGGCAGGGACAGACAAGCAGAGAAACTGTGAGCATGGGCGCCACCTAGTGAGCTTTGGGACTACAGAGAAGTAGCCCCTCCCTGAGCAGTGTTTTCAAGACATTGTTATTCCCTGGCTTGCTTTACCAAATCTTCAGGGAAATTCCTGAATGGGATGGTGTATACCTCGTCTTGATACAAAAGCCTGAGTACTCAGGCAGAGTTTAATAACTACTAGTTTGATGACAGGAAAAGGGCCCAGGTGATCAAACAAAAGAGTAAGAATAGGCTGGGTGTGGTGGCTCACGCCTGTAATCTCAGCACTTTGGGAGGCCGGGGAGGGCAGATCACTTGAGGTCAGGAGTTTGAGACCAGACTGACCAACATGATGAAACCCTGTCTCCACTAAAAATACAAAAATTAGCTGGGTGTGGGTGGTGTGCACCTATAGTCCCAGCTACTTGGGAGTCTGAGGCAGGAGAATCACTTGAATCCAGTAGGTGGAAGTTGCAGTGAGCCAAGATCATGCCACTCCAGCCTGGGCAATGGAGTCAGACTGTCTCAAAAAAAAAAAAAAAAAAAAAGCAAGGTAGGGCTGCAGGCAAACACCAACTGGAAGCCAGGGAAACCCTAAGTCAGGTTTCCAGTCTAACCTCAGAGCCTTTTTGCTCATGTGTTTCTACCCTCTCCTCTACGTCTCCAAACACATGCTATCCTTCAAAGCCATAAGAACCATCTCTTCCATCTCTTCTACTTCTCTCCTTCTCTTCACTACAGAGCAAAACAAATAAATAAATTAATAAATTTCCCCAAGAACCTCAATTTCATATCCTTTGCGCTTCTATTATCTTGTTTAATCCTCACTGCCCTCACAGGTGGACATTAGGCATTATGATCACCATCACTCTCATTTCATACATGCAGAAACTAAACCCAGAGCAGCTAACAGACTTGTTCCAGGCCCGACGTGGTAGTTCCCGCCTGTAATTCTAGCACTTTGGGAGGCTGAGGTAGGCGGATCACTTGAGCCCAGGAGTTCAACAACAGACTGGGCAATATAGCTACACCCCCATCTACAAAAAACTACAAAAAAATTAGCTGGCATACACCTGTAGTCCCAGCTACTTAGGAGGTTGAGGTGGGAGGATAACCTGAGTCCAGGGAGCCTGGGGAGGTGGTTGATCAGGCCACTGCACTCCAGCCTGGGCAATAGAGTGAGAACCTGTCTCAAAGAAAAAAAAATGGCGGGGAGAGGACTTGCTCTAGGTCATTTAGCTAGTAAATTCTCTACCCATCTGAGCCTCTACAGCTCAGTGCATTTGCCACTACACATTGCCTGACCCATTTACTAATTTAAGTCGCTATCTGATTGAAACATTGTTAGAGAACTACCCCCACCTCCCCTGCTTCCCTGTTGCCACTTGACTATAAGCCTCTCAGGGATAGGAATCATTCATGCTTGTTCTAAATCCCGTAAAATGTCCAGCACAGGCTGGACATCTAGTATGTACTCAATACATTCTAGCTGATTTGATGCTTTGCTGTTGCCAAAATTCTGAAATTCTTAAACATTTTGAACGAAGGGCCCTACATTTTCATTTGCACTGGGCCCAACAAATTATGTTTCTGGTCCTGCAATTAGCATTGTTAAAATTCACCAGTATGCTATAAATAGCCCTTTGCACTCTTGAGTGTGCATGCATCATGCTGGGTGATGTTCAGATCAATTGGAGAGGTAGTTAAGGGCTGGTATGTTTTAATTAAATAAATGCCTGACAAAATGAGTACATATGGAGGTGCACTTTAAACTGTGAGGTGCCTGGAAAATGAAGTTATTAGTATTATGGAAGGTAAGAGACAGTAGATAAACTGATTTAAGAAGATCATTTGCTGAAGATCATGAAGTTACTAAATGCCAATCAAGATCTGAACTCTCTGTCTAGGGCTCTTAGCACCACCTGCCTAACTTCTTCATCAAAGGTATCACCTTTTCTCCTGTCAATCTCCCTCTTCATCTACTCACTTAGGTCAGACCATTAGCTAAGCATCCCTCTAGCACCTGAAAAATAAAAAAGCCCAAATGATAGGAGGTTGTGGTAAAGCCAGCTTTTCTTTCACCAGGTAGCCTAGAAGGTACCTGGAGTTTAAACACAGTTCCACTATTTTTCCTTTTTGCCTATTCTTCCTCGCCTTTACCCTCCCTCCATTCATGACCAGCCCTTCAACATTTAGGTACCCTTGTTTGTGGCACCTAGACTGTTGCTAGTAAAAGGAAAAAGTGTGAGTTTATTTATTGAGCATCTACTATGTAATCAAACTCTGTCCTACATGTTTTCACACTTCACATGTGTTTGCTTTTTGAGGCTCTTCTTTCTTATCTATTTTTTTTTTCCTTCTTTTTTGGTCTCACTCTGTCTTCCAGGCTAGAGTGCAGTGGTGTGATCACGGCTCACTACAGCCTCGATCTCCTGAGCTCAGTGATTCTCCTGCCTCAGCCTCCCCAGTAAATGAGACTACAGGCCCATGCCACCATGCCCAGCTAATTTTTTAAACTTTTGTAGAAATGGCATCTCACTATGTTGCCCAGGCTGGTCTTGAACTCCTGGCCTCAAATGATCCTTCTGCCTCAGCCTCTTCTTTCTTATGTCTGTACCCCATTAAAGAGTCATAGGGCAGAACTGGAACATTAGAGGAACATTAGAAGTCACCTATTCCAATCCTTTTCCTCTTACTTTATAAAGGAGGGGGTGGCTGTCAAGTAAGGGAAGTTACATGCTCAAGGTCATAGACCTCTTCCTCCTGAGAAGTATGACTATATCTGGGCCTATATGTATATCTGTGTGTGTATGGAGAAGGGTGGCTCAGGGGCAGCTGGAATTGTGCTTAGTCAGACATACCACTCTGTATTGTTGACTGCATCCCCAAAACCTGGTGTGTCCACAATGGTGAGCCGCAGCCTTACACCTTTCTCTTCTATGTCCACTGCATGCTTAGTGATCTCCACAGTTTGCATGATCCGCTCTGGAGAAGGGGGAAACTGAGGCCAGGGGAAGGGCAGGGACCTGCCCAGTCGAAATGAACTGCCCACCCCAAACAGCTTCGTTGCCCATACTGCTTCATCCACATTGCCCTCTCCACCCCCAAGCTGCCTGGGGGACTGTTCCCTGGGAACCAGCAAGAAGTGTATTTCCCAACACAGGAAATGCCAGTGGCTGTTGGCTCTGGCCCCAGCCTCTTCTCTGATCCGTTTTTTTTTTTTTTTTTTTTCTTGGATTCCTGGAATCCTTGGGGGTCAGAGACTCATTCAGAGTGCAAGACTCTGGTCCCCTGCCCTGCTTCAGCACCCAAATCTTTAGGGAGCTGGCTGGTGGGCTGCCAGGCAGATAGGCCTATGGAGAGCTGCTGTCAGTCTCTCTAGGAAGCCTTTGTTTCCAGCATGTGGGGGAGAGTCCCATCCCCCAGACTCTGGAGTGAGTTTAATTTCCCAAGACAAGTCTGCCTGATTGTCCTCTCCTTTCCTTACCTTCAGCACCAAGGAGTTTCCGGTCCCGGTACAGATCAGTGAGGAAGAGGCTATTGACAAGTGTAGATTTGCCCAGGCCAGACTCTCCTGAGAGGAGAGAGGACACAGGCACCAAATCAGAAGGTAAGATCTATAGCCAAAAAGCAACTCCACTGGATTAAGGTTTAGAGGAAACTACTTTCTTTTCTAATCGGAACTAGAGTAACTATAGTATTTTAGAGCTTGAAGGAAGCACAGAGATTGGCTTGGGAGAGCAAGAGATTGCTCAAGGTCACACAAAAGAGGCAAATACTAGAAAACGGTTGGTCAAATGTTCTTTGCAACCAATTTGTACCCCCACCCCACCCCAACCCCATATACATACACTCTCAGAGGCCAATAACTCCTGGCTATCTGGCAAAGAGGCACAGCCACTCACTGCTTGCTCCTTTCAACCTCTACTCCCTTCCCACTCATGGACACACACACCATCCCCACCTGAAACACACCCTGCCCAACCCAGCCCTGCCCCTTTTCTACCTGCCACCATGAGAGTAAAGTCAAAGCCTTTCTTCACGGACTTTCGGTGGACTTGGTTGGGGAGGGTTGCAAAGCCCACATACTCCTTGTCATCCTAGCAGACAGGAAGGCAGAATGCGTCAGGACAAGGAGCTGAAGGGGCCCTGGCACCCAGCACTGATCTTCTCTCCCTTTCAGGTCTTTGCCCCAGCCTTTAAGAAGCAGTGCCAGACTCCTGTGAGTTCCTATTTCAGGCCACCAACTGGGCCTCCTGCCATTGCTAAACTGTTAGTTTCCAGTGCCCTTGGGGGCAGATATCACAGAGCTAGGGCTGACAAAGGACTGAAAGAGATCCCAGATACACACACACACACACACACACACACACACACACACGCATGCGCGCACACACACACACACACACACCACCCCAGTCTTCCTGCAGCAGCCCACTGAAAGGCAAAGGCAGGGCTGGGGGCTCTACCTCAGAAGAATCACAGGGATCAAGCTTGTCCCATGGGCTGCGGGGCCTAGCAGATGGGCTGAGAGGGGCTGGGGCACAGAAGTACTGCTGGCTGTCAGAGGACTGGGGCCACGAGGGGGGTCTGAACTCCAGGTCATCATCATAGAGGTCTGGGGCCTGGGGCCTGGATGCCCAGGTCTTAGCCTCTGGTGGGTGGCAGCTCTCGCTTCCTGAGAAATCCTTCACGAACTTGCTCAGTTCTCCATCATCTGTGGTGTCCTCCAGGAAACGCTTGATCTGGGGGAAGTGGGGTGGGTGGAGTAGGTAGGAGGTGATGGGAAGGGAAGAATGAGGAAGGAGACGGAAGACAGGAGAAGGCAAGAGGGAAAGGGAAAGCACTTGTGGTTAGAAGAGAAAGAAACTACAGCCAAGCCAGACCAAGTGCTCACCATCCCTCCCTCACCTGCTCACAAGCCTCCCCAATCCAAGATGTCAGGAAGGGCCCTAGGGTCCAAGAAGAGCCCTGGGCACCCCCAAATCCCTGGCAACTGCTCTTGAGAACTGAGGAACTCCAGTTCTGGTCTCCCTCTCAGCAGCATGTTTTTTGAGGCTGCCTTTCCTGGGGTTCTGGCCTAGCCAGGGACTGTCTCAGGCCAGGAAGTAAGGCCAGAGTGAATACGATAGAGCAGACAGAGGCATTAGACCCAAAAGGAGAGTACAGAGCATCAGAATGGGGCAGGGGATGAGGGAAGTAGGTAGGAGAGAAGAGAGCTGCCTGTGCCAGGCAGGTCAACCAGCAGGGGGTTCCGTGCCTCCTGTCACTACTGGTCAGTGAGCTGGGGGACTGAGGTACAGATTCTACTGCCAGTGCTCAATCCCCAAGGTTCACGGCCCAGTGCTCAATATAGCTGATCCTACCCCTTACTTCAGACACTGAGCCACACTCAAATCTGACCCTGGGCCCTGGGAGAGAAGAGTAACCTGCCAGTGGATGCTGACTGTGGGTGGAAGGCAGCTGGGAGGGACTAGCTAAGGGATGATTGAAGAGCCTGGCGAAGGCTGAAGGACAGCTGGGCCTCCAGAGCTTTTGACAGCCCCCACCTGTGAGGGACATATCAGGGGAAGCACCCTCAGTTGTTTCCTTACCCCTCTTCCCAGAGCCAGCAGTACAGGAGGGGGTCTGGCCTAAATTATGACCCACAGTGGGTGGTAGGCAGAGAATGGTCTGACTCCTCTGTAGAAGCCTGTTCTACACTATCCCCAGCTCAGAAGAGGGACCATTTCCCCCAACTCTCATGGTCAGCTCTAGACCCTAAAGATTCTCCTCTCCTTTGGGGGTCAGCCTCCTTTGTGGGGTGCCTGGCAGTGCTGGGTTCAGCTCTGCTTCACAATACCCACGTGCCACCCCCAGACAATGGGCAAGGGCCAGCTGCAGAAACTGACTCACTCTCTGGGGGTTAGCCAAGCTAGTGGGGACTACCCCAGACCACTGTGGAGTCACAGCTAGAGTTGGGGAGATAAGATGGCCAAAGTCTTCCTGCAAAGGGAAGACTTCAGGGAGGCGAATATGCACACTGACAGGTATATGCTAGAGGGAAGAGGTTGAGATAGGGAGGTTAGAGGAAAAAGTCTGCTAGGAGCTACTTCCAGGCTGTCACCTCTCAAGTCCTCACAGCTGCTTATAGCCGTAGTGCTCACCTGGACAGAGGGGAGGAAAAAACTGGAACCCAAAACTGGAACCAGCAGGTGGAGGCTAGGTGTCCTGAGACCAGCCTAACCCAGGGCTTTTCTTACCTATGATATTTGTGAGGTCCAGTGGCGACCATACATCCCAGTTTATGCCTGTTGTCCTGACATCATGATTAATTGTGCCCTTTCACTCTCAAAAGTGTCCCAGCTTAGACAATTAATTATATGGCAACAGAAAAAGGGTGGAACTTGGGGGCAGCAGCTCTTGTTGTCTGGCAGCTAATAAGTCTGGGGAATTCCAAGAAATCCTGCCTCTCTGCACAAATCCACAATGACCCAGCAGTTGGTCTGGGGATCGGGACAAGGGTGGGAGAGAGAAAGCTGTGCTTCACCTGGTTTCACTCAGAGACACTGAGTGGAGAGGCAGGGAAGGGAGAAAGAAAGGCACTAATGAAGATCCCTAGCCCCCACAATCTTCCAGCAGAGCCTCCAGGAATCCAGCACCGTCCTCATCTCTGCCAGCCCTGTCCACTCATCCGCATGAAGGAGGCCACAGGGGCTCTAGATTAGGAGTCAGGATGCTAGGGTTCTCACCTCCTGCCTGTCCATCCCCACTGCCAGCTCTGCCAGTGACCAAATCATTTTCTGACTTTCAGCCCCAATCCCATCCAAGGCAGGGAGAAGACAGGTCAGGTCCACCCATCTCCCAGAGCAGCATCTTACCCCAGCTTCAGTCCTGTCCTCAGGGACAGAATTCCCTTGCCATCCCAGTGAATGGTCCATGTCCCATGCTTCGGACTCCCTGTCAGCAAGCTCTAGGTCTAATTTTATCTCCCAGGCAAAGTTCCTCATACACAAAAACAGCCTTGTTTTGATGCTCTTGTTGTCTAGCTTCCGGCTTGCTCCTTTCCTTTTCTCTTTGACCCCTTTCTGTCTCTGGCAGGGGCCAAAAAAGCCTGTGGAATGTCCTTCCCCACCCCCTCTCCTCCTCCCCTTCTCTTGGCTCCCAACCTCCAAGGACAGCTCAGCTGCAGCAGGATCACTTGGTTCCTCTGCAGTCCCCCCCTCCTCTGATTAGCTGCCCCATGACGCCTGCCCACTGCCTACCCTGGTGGGCACAGCATCAACCTCCCAATGTCTGCCTGCAGCACAAGCTCTTGATCCATTTGACCTCTCCTGTTAACCCCCAAGGACACCGTGGTCTGCCTGAGGACTATGAGCTGTCCCCAAGTGACCCAGCCCATCAGCACTTGAGGACAGCCACCCAGGATACCCATTCCCAAAGGATTTCAATCCCCCAATCTCTTTCTTTCACCTTAACTTTAAGCAGTGCTGGAGTAGGACGAGATGCCCTATAATCCCCCGTATAGATTTTTGTGGGAATGGCCCCACACTTCTTCCCAAGTGTCCCTTTCTTTTTTTCCAGTGGGGAACCTCACTGTCTAGAAATCTGCTCCTAGATTTCCCTGCAGGGAGCCCCATCACAGAGGGGACTTTGCTCAAGAGACTCCCCTTACCCTAGGACACCTCACCTCCTACTCATAGCAACCTATATCAATTCCACCACTCCATCGCTTCCATAGCGTCAACAGGGGAGATGTTAGCACCTGGTCTCTGAGGAGCATGGGTTCAAGACAATGGGAGGCTGGCAGCCCAGAAACTTCAGAGCTGCCATTTAAGTGGGAGAGAAATTAAGAGGCCTGGTTAGAAGTGTGCACTCAACTAGGAGTCAGGGGGCCACTGTTTCTGTTGGAAGGAAACATCTTTTATGAGTCTGGATAGTATCTTAATTTCAGGACCTTAGTGGTCAGTTGTGAATGGAGGAGGGTGAGGGGACATGGCCATTTCTGCCTCATGACAGCCTTCCTCTGGCTAAATAGCTGTCAGGGTGGCTCCTGGGTTACAGATTTGCTTCCTCACCTGAGTATGCACCCTGGCCTCTGAAGCCAAGCTCCCTCATCTACCCAGGCCCACTGTTTCTGTTAGTTGGAAAATCCACCATTTGAAACACCACCAAACTACTCTGCAGAAAGATGTGATGTTGGAGATGGGTTCCAGTCACCAAACAGCTTCTGAAAAATACACCAAAAAGTCCACAGTGGTTGTGGCAGATTCTTCCCTATGTGGGATTATTCTGGGCAAAATGAATAACTGAGGCCAGGTAGTCTGGCCTCAGTTCTGCTATCAAGCCTGAGACAAAAGCATCATATTTTTCTGCCCCTCATTTTATAGGCAGAGGGAGTAACGTGTCCAGGTCTCACTGTGAAGCTGGGACATTGTCACCTCACTCTGTGCTTCCAGGTGGACTGCATGACAGCTTGGACTAGGTAACCAACTGTCTTGGTCTGCCCAGGACTGAGGGAATTTTTGAGACATGGCACCTTCAGTGCTAAAACCAGTGAAGTCCAGGGAAACCCTGATGAGCTGGTCAACTTAGCCTGTCCCCAAATTAGCAAGTCATGACCAGAGGTCACCAGCCTTCCATCCTGCTCTGGAATTGGCTGCCCATGGTAACTGGAAATGGACAGGGTGCCATCTGACAGGGTAAGATGCTCGCTTCCTAAGAAGCTGTGCAGTGATGGTCAAACTGCTATAAAAAGCCTCCAGAGATGCCCTGTCCCATTTCATCAGCTTTACTCCATTCTTTCAACAATTCTCTTTCTTCTGAACTACAAGCCTCTACCCAAAGCAAAATAAATGCCAGGTATGGTGGCTTGTGCCCATAGTCCCAACTACTAGGGAGGCTGAGGCAGGAGGATCACTTGAGCCCGGGAATTCAAGACTACAGTGAGCTATGGATTGTACCACTGCACTCCAGCCTGGGCAACAGAACACTTTTTTTAAAAAAGCTGACTGGGCGTGGTGGCTCACACCTGGAATCCTAGCACTTTGGGAGGCCAAGGAGGGCAGATCATGAAGTCAGGAGATCGAGACCATCCTGGCCAACATGGTGAAACCCCATCTCTACTAAACATACAAAAATTAGTGGGACATAATGGCATGTGCCTGCAGTCCCAGATACTTGGGAGGCTGAGGCAGGAGAATTGCTTGAACCTGGGAGATGGAGTTTTCAGTGAGCTGAGATTGTGCCACTCCCTCCCAACAGAGGGAGACTCCGTCTCAAAAAGAAAAAACCAAAAACAAACAAAAAACAAGGGAGATAGCCCATGACCTAGGATTCTGTTAGTATCCTCATGAATGTGGAAACTCCCTGAGTTCCTCAGAGGCTTTGGATTTCTCTTTGTAAAGGATGCCAATCTGAGCAAAATGTCTGTGATTCAGAAGCCAACAGGAGGCTAATCATACCATCCCTCAAGGGACATATGGCATGTCACCCAAAAGACACTGGGGTCTGCCTTAAGTGAGATGGCCTTCTCTGATTCCTGGCCTATTTTCCAGAGTTGGTTTCTTGCATAATTGATAGAGCAGGGAGTAAACTACCTTGCCCTATGAAAGCCTCGGAATTCACTTTTAAGGATAAGTAGATCAGGTGTCTCAAGGACACAGGATCCTGGGGCTAGGCACCCTGTCTATCAAAGGCATTGCAGCCCCTCCCATCAGAACTGCTTTATTTCCAGGAACTCCCCAGGGCTATGTGAGAAGGCAGCCCCCAGTGACCCATTAGGGCACCCTCAGGACCTTCCTGTTGAGCCTTTGCTAGTTCTGATCCCAAAAAAACCATCAGGAATGCTTCCCTTAGTCCAGCACAACCTCCTCTGGGGAGACTCCAGCCCCTGATGTCCTAATCCAAGGATGAGAAGCATCTGTCCATCCTATTCCTTAGACAAAAGGGCCTTGAGGGGCCATTTGGGAAGGCATCGACACTTAAGAGAAAGAGATGAGGTGAATCAGGAACCATCCCCAGCTGTTCACCCAGAGAGGTTTGTGAAGCTCAACAACAAACATGCTGCCTTCCACAAGCCAGGCGTCGTGGCCAGGCCACTAGAGAATTCCTGCCAGGAATGGAATCTGGAACAGACTCTGGTCAACCATTCCCAGATCAGAGGAACCAGAGGCCTTGGACACCAGCACCACAGAGTCTCCATCCTGAGGCTGCATGGGGTCATGCAGGCTGGAGCCTAGCTTTCTCAAATGTTAGAGAGCACCTGGCTGTCCTCCATGCCACCCTACCTCCAGAGAGTCAGAGAAGACCAGCAGCCCAGCTGCCTGGGAGCCTTCTCTTCTCGGCTTCTAGGAAGCAGCTCTGCTGCTGAACAGGGCTGGAGAGCTGTAATTATCGAGACAGGATAAGAGCTATTAGGAAGGAGCCATCCTGCTGCCAAGGCTTTTGACTTCCTAAACTAAAACAAGATGCACAGAAAAAGGGGGTGGGGGTGGGGGAGAACAGGGAGGAGCGTGCTCAGTCAAAAACATCAAATCTTGACCAAAGGGAAATATTAACCCCTTCCCAAAGGCACACATTTGCATCTAGGGGTGAGCAAAAGTCTAGCTAAGAACACTATCATCCCCTAGCTTTGGGAAGGAGGCGTAACTCTTCCTTCATCCCCTGTCCATCTCCCTATGGACTCCCTCTCTCCTAAGACTCTCCAAGAGCACTACTCAGTCTGTTTCATCTATTTTGACATTTGAGCACAAACATTTCATACTGTTGTTTAAACGTTTCCTGTCTGTGTCTTATCTCCCCAACCACATGGCAAGTTTCTCAAGGCCAAGGAATGTGTGTACTGCAAAGCTTCAATGCTTCCCCTAAAAGTGCCTAGCAGAGTGCTAGGCCTCTGAATAAAAACTGTTTATGGAAGGGAGAGAGGGAGGAAGGAAAAAGAAAGGGAGGGACTCACTGTCTTGCATGGAGACAATCTCTGAAGGTAGCCACTCCCACCTACAGCTGAGCTCATGGCATAAGGCTGGATAAGAACCCATGGCAGTGAGGTGGCAGCCTTGTTTCTAGACACCTCCTCTCCAGCTGTTCCATTATCTGAGCTTAGGCCGACCCCCACTATGCACTCATTTGTTTTCTATGGCCAACTGTCCATCCTGAGTCAGCCTATGAATGGGACCCATTAGAGGCCATTGCTAGGCTTTGAATAATAGAGAAATATGGCAAGAGGAAGAATGGAAGTAGGAAGAGCTTTGACCATCTTGTCAAACATGGGCCAAGAATAGCCAAAGTACTCATGGGAACAATGCAGTGAAATCAGGACACTACCAAAAATCAGGACACAGGACTGCCAAGAGCAGACTCCACCTTGAGTTTTTCCAAGTTGAGGACCCAAATAGTGTGTAACCCAGAAAAGTGACACCTTTCTGGAATGCCCCAGGCTGAAAAGGGGAGAACCAGGTGGGGACTGATCCAGTGGCTACCTAGACGGCCTTCCCACAGAGCACTTGGCAAGATTCATCATCTGCCAAAATGTCTCTATACTTTCTTTCTAGGACTGCATGTAGCTCATACAGTGCTTTTGTGCAAATATCCCTCTGGAAGGATGCAGACCCACAAGTGAACAGCTTGGCAAATGGAACATACGTTAGATTTCAGCCCCCCACTTTCCCCTCCACCAGGTGCTCTTGTGCAGTGAACAGTCTGCCCAAGCATAGGGAGCAGCTCTGTCTTTCTCCATGCCCACTCCCATTATAGGACAGGAGACGGATTTGGATAGTCGGGTGGGCACAGGAAGACTGGAAGTAACCTCCCAGGGGTGTTCTTACCTCCTCATCTGTCATAACAGAGAAGTAGAAGCCAGGCATTCCTAGGGGGGCAGCAAGTGGAATTCAGAGTGTGCCAATAGGAAAGGAAAAAGAGAAATTTACTAAAGATGCCCAGTGGACTTGGGCAAACCTGGCCCAATCCCTTCCTAGTGCAAGTGGCCCAAATAATAGCAGCTGGTCTTTACTGAAAGCTCACTGTTGCCAAGTACCGTGCTAAGAGCTTTATAGGTAATAGCTTGTAATAATCCTCACAATAACCCTAAGAGGGAGCCATTATTTTCATTAACAGATGGGGAAACTGAGGCTTAGAGAGGTAAAATAACTTACCCAAAGTCACAGTCAGCAAATAGTGGACCCAGGGCTCAAATCCAGTTAGTAACTCAAGTTTGTACTTAACTGTGCCCCTACTTTATAGAGCTTTCCTCCCTCTGAGGAGCAGGACTGCCCATCTCTGCTCTTTGCTGACCATCACTAGGAGGGTTCATGCTGGTTGGGGTTGGATGGCATTCCCAGGGCTCTCTGCCCCCAGGAACTGCTTTATCCAGAGCCCTGGCCTCTGTCATGCTCAAGGGCTGGAGTGTATTTTGGGCCGTGATGTTCGCAACAAGAAGCCCCTGCTGCCAAGATTTACTCCATGAGGGTGGTCCCCACCCTCCCCTGCCCCCAGAGAGGCCAAGAGTATAAAGGGAGCAGAGGGTGACAAGGCTGGGGGACACTTCTCTCAAGCATTCTAGAGCTGCAAGATACACTGATGGCCTCAAGGAGAAAGCCCAGACATCTCTGAAGATCCTGCCTGGGCAGCATCAGTAAGTACCCTAGGTGGTAGAGTGGGTCATGAGGAGGGTTCTAAAAAACCAGAGAAACACTTGAGAAGAGTCCCCAGCCTGAATAAATATGAAGTCAACCCTGAGCAAACTGTGAAGCAGGCAGTATGCTTTGGTGTATTTTTTTAAATTACATGATAGGTGGCCAACTAAGCTGAAAGGCCACGAGGCTTAAATTATTCTCCGTTCCTGAAGTGACTTCCTATTAAAAGGAGACTCTTGAAAATGGAAAAGGTGGCCAGGCGCGGTGGCTCACGCCTGTAATCCCAGCACTATGGGAGGCTGAGGCAGACAGATCACCTGAGGTCAGCAGTTCGAGACCAGCCTGACCAACATGGAGAAACCCTGTCTCTATAAAAATACACAATTAGCCATGCATGGTGGTACATGCCTGTAATTCCACCTACTTGGGAGGCTGAGGCAGAAGAATTGCTTGAACCTAGGTGGAGGTTGCTGTGAACTGCGATCACGCCATTGCGTTCCAGCGTGGGCAACAAGAGCAAAACTCCATCTCAAAAGAGAAAAAGAAAAGAAAAGGAAATGGAAAAGATTCCAAGCCCCAAAGAAATTACTCTAATGGTGGAATTTCAGTAAGATGAGAAGTTCCTCTGCTCCTTCAAGTCAAAATCCCAGCATTTATCTCCTAAATGACCCAGCTCTGTAGATACATAGATGCCACTCCTCACCTGCCCTCCCATCTCCCAAGCTCCCACAACAGGCCCGCAGGAGGGAAAAGTACAGACCTTTTAGCCACCGGATGACACGATTGTTCATTTCCTGAGAGACATCTGAAAGTAACACAATTATGGTTGCTTTTCTTCTCCCTGTGGGATGCAAATCCCACCCTCCACTGCTTGCAGCTCCCTTTCTAGCTCCACATTTCTCACCCAAAGGTGCCCTCAGCCCTTGGTCCTCTCCAAGAAGCTCCTCCAGCATAGGACTATATATTCCCACTCTCCCTATCCCTCTCTCTGTGCCCCGTGAATGCCTTTCCCCTCCTGGAAGTCTAAATCCCAGCTCATCTGCACCCCACCCTCTCCACTTTGTTGCCAGCGTATTTACCTGAGGCCCTTATTCTGTTTAACAGCCCTTACCAGCCCTCACCCCAGCTCAGTGCTTCATCTCCACTCAGGAAGCAGCTTTCAACCCTGCAAGCCCTCTTTACTACTTTCAGTTGAAAAGGTAAGCAGTGTTGCCTAGAGGAGTCAATGCCTGTCACCTGGCCCAAGCATCGTCATCGATGTCATTAGCTAGGAGCACAGAGAAGCTGGCAGGGAAGGAATGGAACAATGGGCTCAAGTATAGGACTAGCTTTGGCACTGGCAGGAGAGCAGCAGCCCTTAGGCCCAGAATGAAGAGTTGGCCTTTCCTGCCCACCCCAACATCCCCATCTCACTAAACTGGGGCTGCATCTGGGCAGTCTGCTTCTTCACATACCCAGGAAGAAAGAACTAAACCATTGAATGAGTTGTTTGCAGGCACGCTTGGGGGTCTGTGGCACTTCACTCACTGGTGCCCAACTTGGAGACTCCTTTGGTGATGGTGGTGGTGATGGGCTTGCCTTCTCTCTCTGGAACTTCAGATTCTCAAATAAAGGGCTAGAGTCTATTTTAAAACAGGACAATAAAGGATCTAGGGAAGGAGAACACTTACGCTCAAAATCAGGTGTTGTTGGCTGGCTTTCGGGTATTCCAACTTCAGGATTCAGCAAGGCCCACCATGAGCAGCCAGGCTCATACCTAGGTAAGGACCGAGGAGGCAAGGCCCGAAGGGTCAGTTCCAGGGTCTGATGGTCTGCAGAGACACTGCTGCTTCCGTGCTCTGGGAGAGAGCGACTCTTTGGAGATCTGATCTCAGTAGTAGTCATAATCCTTTGAATGGGTCCAGTTTGCACTGCTTCATCCTTTGGGTAAGACAAAATCCTGCGGGGAACTCTGACTCCTTGGGGGTTCTGGACCTTGGATGGTGGGTCATCTTGTAAGATTTGTGATTGCAAGTTATCCTTCTGGTCTTGAAAACTCAATCGACGAGAAGATTTGACATCTGGGATGGATGAGGCATGATGGCCGACCTTGCGCCCTGACTTGCTCTCACCGCTTCTTCATGTTGCTTCCTCTCTGGGTGGACTAACATTCAGTTGTTTGCTTGAAGCATGGGAAGCCAGTGTCTGAGTTTGCTGGCTCTTTGGATGAGGAGAGGAATGGCGGGATGATTCTGTTCTTGGTCCAGTCTCGGTTCCCTGAGGTGTGGGTACCGCATAGCGTCCAGGCCCTAACTCGGGGGAGACAGATCGAGGATAGTCTGATGCCGAATGGAGAGTGGTGGGATGTGCAGCTTCTGATCTTCGGTGGGAAGGGTTCAGGGAGACTGCAGCACTTCGATGGTTTGAGGTAAGAATGAACCAATGTCTCCACTGAGGGAATGTGTTAGTAGTAACCTCAGACCCTCTCTGTGCTGAAACCGATACCTTGGCCCCAGGTTTATTTGTCTTGATGGTTGTGCCTTTCAGAGCAGATCTCATATTTTACTGGCTGGCTTGTATTCGGGAGCCTAATGATGCCTGAATATTTATCCTGTTTTCAAGCTGCTGTTCTTGGGCATCTACAAAATTGGCTGTTGTTCTATGAGTGTCTCAAATAGTCTCCTTAGCTACTGCTCTGTAATGTGATGTCTGGTGATGTCATAAAGGAAGGAACTTCCTTCCTATTACACATCCTAGTGTAGAGCCACAATTCTTCACAGAATCCCAAAGCAGTACCTGAAAGGAAAGTGTGGATTTGTCTTTGGAGTTACATCACCAAGCCTTTGGCAAGTTTTTTACAAAACTGGGATTTCCTTGTATATAGATAAAGGCTCCAGACCCTCCCTTACTCTTCCCAGATTCTAGAAATTCTCAGGGACTCATCCAGAGAAGGAAACAGCCAGAAGATCCTATGAAGACAAGGTCAAACCAAACATGCTGTGTTCACCGCAGTTTTAATAAGGTACAAAGTTGTCCCACTTTTGTTTGAAACTGCACTGTGTACAAGTTTAAACAAAAATACAGCTTCAGCCTTTTCCGGTCTCAAGGATGGTTTCATTGCTCCTGGGATAAAAATACAAGTTGCTCAAATAATAAATTCTCACATTCTTGGTCCAGGAGTGTCTAGTGTTTTATTAATAAAAGGGATTTGGGCTGGGTGCAGTGGCTTATGCCTATAATCCCAGCACTTTAGGAGGCCAAGGCAGGCAGCTCACCTGAGGTCAGGAGTTCAAGACCAGCCTGGACAACATGGTGAAACCCTGTCTCTACCAAAAATACAAAAATTAGCCAGGTGTGGTGGTGTGCACCTGTAATTTCAGCTAGCCAGGAGGCTGAGGCAGGAGAATCACTGGAACCCAGGAGGTGGAGGCTGCAGTGAGCTGAGATTGTGCCACTGCACTCCAGTCTGGGCAACAGAGCAAGACTCTGTCTCAAAAGAAAAAAAAAGAAGGATTTGTAGTTAGTTATTGGTTTCTATCATAAATGACTAGTTGGGTACCTAGAGAAATTACCTGAGTTGCCTGGGCCTTGGCTTCTTCACCTGGAAACCACTGCCGGGCACATGGTTGTCACATAACAAATGTTAATGTCATTTCTCATGATCCTGTCAGCCATCCAATTAGCCAGACTTGGTTCTCTTCTGAAGAGTAACTTTCCAATTTGGATGACCATTTTGGAGGAGACTCTGTCACCTCTCTCTCCCTTTCAAATGTTCTTTCTCTCTGTTTTTTAGACATAGACTCTACTATATACAACATTCTATCATGAACTCTGAAGGGTCATTGAGGTTATAGGATGGTCAGCTTCATTCTTCTATGGTCTACGCTGACCATTCTCTTCTGTTAACAGTTTTTCCTCAAATGAACTATTAATTATGACATTCTAGTCCTGCTTCCCATTGATTTAGCTTTAAATATTTTATTTTTGTTGAGACAGAGTCTTGCCCTGTCACCCAGGCTAGAGTGCAGCAGCACGATCTTGGCTCACTGTAGCCACCTCCTGGGTTCAAGCAATTCTCATGCCTTAGCTTCCTGGGTAGCTGGGATTACAGGCACCCACCACCATGCCCTGTTGATTTTTATATTTTTAGTAGAGATGAGATTGTTGACCAGGCTGGCCTTGAACGCCTGTCCTCAGGTGACCCACCCACCTTGGCCTCCCAAAGTGCTTGGATTACAGGCGTGAGCCACACTGCACCTGGCCAAGAGGGTACCTTGTGTTGGTCTTCTGACAACTCCAGATTATTTTTGCCCTTTTGTTTGTGGCTAGATCAGCTTAGGAGGCGTGATGCTACCAAGTACACTCATCCTCTCTACCCCAGAGTCCACATAACCCTTTTACCTCCTTGGGGTCTCTTGGCCGCTATCCTGACACTGGTGGGGTGAAGGAAAAGATCAGAAAAGGTGGTCTCCACAGCCACAGTCAGGTGACCTGCAGCCAGGTCACCTTGGAGGACACCAGGTAGCTGTTTCTCAGCTATGCAAACTCTTAGGGTCTGCAGAGCTTGAACTGTTGGCCCTGGAGTCAGAATAACTGTGTTGAAGTCCTCACTAGCTGTGAAATCTAGGGTTGGGAACTTGGCCTCTCTGCATCTCGCAGTGGCTCACGCTTGTAATCCCAGCACTTTGGGAGGCCAAGGTGGGTGGATCACTTGACAGGATTTCAAGACCAGCCTGGCCAACGTGTTGAAACCCCATCTCTACTAAAAATACAAAAATTAGCCAGGTATGGTGGTGCGTGCCTGTAGTCCCGGATACCCGGGAGGCTGAGGCAGGAGAATCACTTGAATCCAGGAGACAAAGTGAGCTGAGATCACATCACTGGATGCTAGCCTGGGTAACAGAGGGAGACTCTGTCTCAAAAAAAAAAAAAAAAACAAAGGTCGGGGGGGCAGGTGTGGTGGCTCACGCCTGTAATCTCAGCACTTTGGGAGGCCAATGCAGGCAGATCACCTGAGGTCAGGAGTTCAAGACCAGCCCAACCAATATGATAAAACCTCATCTCTACTAAAAATTAAAAAATTAGCTGAATGTGGTGGCACATGCCTGTAATCTCAGCTACATGAATCGCTCGAACTGGCAGGGGGAGATTACAGTGAGCTGAGATTGCACCACTGCCCTCCAGTCTGGGCAACAAGAATGAAAACTTTATCTCAGAAAAAAAAAACGAAATCTCTCAACACCTCACTTGCTGATCTGGAAAGCGGATCTGATAGAACAACCTCATGGGTTCATTTGGAAGCTGAAATGTGAGAATGCATGGGAAGCCAAGCACAAGCACAGTGAGTGGCAAGAGGCACTCCCTGGAGGGTCAGCACAGCATCACCCCTGAGAAGCAGGTGGCTGGTGGTCTGAAGGTTGCTGAGATGAGGATGAGGGAAAGTAACCCAGCACCTCCTTTGCCCTCCTGGGGCAGGGGGACAAGGGCTGCTCAAAGGCATGGTGTCCAGCTCCCTTTGAAGAGGGTAGAACCTGTCCAGCTTCTGCACTTCGGTTCCCCTAATGACCAGTCCAGAATGGCAGGGGCAGCTCTGCATGCCGAGAAAGGCCCGTTTCCCAATCACCTCCCAGTGCCTCATCCCTGACGTCCCACTTCCACTCTTTGGCTGGCCATCACTTATTCCTGGCCGGGCCCAGTGACTACACCTATAATACCAGAACTTGGGAAGCCGAGGCGGGCAGATCACTTGAAACCAAGAGTTCGAGACCAGCTTGATCAATATGGCAAGACCCATCTCTACAAAAAAAATACAAAAAAATCAGCTGAGTGTGGGTGGTGTGCGCCTGTAGTCCAGCTACTTGGGAGGTTGAGGTGGGAGGATCACTTAAGCCCGGAAGGTGAAAGTTGATTGTGCCACTGCATTCCAGCCTGGTCAACAGAGCAAGATCTAGCAATAATAATAATAAATAATCTTATTCCCACTTTGAGGCCTGGGTCATCTCTTCCAAGAAGTTTTTGCACACACCCCATCCCCAGACTAGTAGTAAATCTCCTTGGATTAATCTCTGGAGCACTTAACATCCTGTGTCTTGTCCCACTCTTAAGGCTTCTATTTCAGCCAACCTAATTTATTCATTCAACAAATAGGTATTGAGTGTCTGCTCTGTGCCAGGTACTGGAGAGTGAACAAGACAGACTCATGGAGCTAACATTCTCAAGGAGGAGGTAAATACACAAATAAATATATGTGATATCAGATGCCAGGCACGATGGCTCATGCCTGTAATCCCAACACTTTGGGAGGCTGAGGTAGGTGGAATCACCTGAGGTTGGGAGTTCGAGACCAGCTTGACCAACATGGAGAAACCCTGTCTCTACTAAAAATACAAAATTAGCCGGGCATGGTGGCACATGCCTATAATCACAGCTACTTCAGAGGCTGAGGCAGGAGAATCGCTTGAACCTGGGGTACGGAGGTTGTGGTGAGCCAAGATCTCACCACTGCACTCCAGGCTTGGCAACAGAGCAAGACTGTCTCAAAAAAAAAAAGAAAAAAAAGAAAGAAAGAAAGTGAAGGCAGAAAGGAAGAAATGGTCCATAGAGAGTGAGGGATGGGGTATGGGTTGGGGGGGGTCTTCTCAGCAGAGTGGTCAGGAAAGGCTCAGTGAATAGCAAAGGTTTTAAAATCTCAGAGACGGCCAGGCAGGGTGGCTCAAGCCTGTAATCCCAGCACTTTGGGAGGCCGAGGCGGGTGGATCACGAGGTCAAGAGATCGAGACCATCCTTGTCAACATGGTGAAACCCCGTCTCTACTAAAAATGCAAAAAAAATTAGTTGGGCTTGGTAGCATGTGCCTGTAATCCCAGCTACTCAGGAGGCTGAGGCAGGAGAATTGCCTGAACCCAGGAGGCGGAGGTTGCAGTGAGCCGAGGTCGCGCCGTTGCCCTCCAGCCTGGGTAACAAGAGCAAAACTCTGTCTCAAAAAAAAAAAAAAAAAAAACTCAGAGACAAGAATGAGTGTCATGTGAACAGTAAAAAGATATGACTGGAGTGGAGTGAGTGAGGGTAGAAGGAATAGGAGATGGGATCAGGAAGGGATCATATTTTTTTAGATAGAGTCTCTCCCTGTTGCCCAGGCTGGAGTGCAATGGCACGATCTTGACTCATTGCACCTCTGCCTCCAGGTTTAAGCGATTCTCCTACTTTAGCCTCCCAAGTAGCTGAGACTACAGGTGTCGATCACCACGCCCGACTCATTTTTGTATTTTTAGTAGAGACAGGGTTTCACCATGTTGGTCAGGCTTGTCTTGAATTCCTGACCTCAAGTGATCTGCCTGCCTCAGCCTCCCAAAGTGCTGGGATTACAGGCTTGAGCCACTGTGCCTGGCCAGGAAGAAAGAATTTTTTATTTTAAATCTGTTAGTAAAAGCAGGAGACTGGCTGGGCACAGTGGCTCACACCTGTAATCCCAGCACTTTGGGAGGCTGAGGCAGATGGATTGCCTGAGGTCAGGAGTTTGAGACTGGCCTGATCAACATGGAGAAATGTCATCTCTACTAAAAATATAAAATTATCCAGGCGTGGTGGTGCATGCCTCTAATCCCAGCTACTCGGGAGGCTGAGGCGGGAGAATAGCTTGAACCTGGGAGGTGGAGGTTGTGATGAGCCGAGATCATGCCATTGCACTCCAGCCTGGGCAACAAGAGCAAAACTCTCTCAAATAAATAAATAAATAAATAAATAAA